GGGCACACGGCAGCACCAAGAAAAAGACAGAGCGGCAACAGAAGTAGGGCCTGACTCACCAAGGCTCACTGACGCAGAGGTGTGGCTATAGCCCGTCCCTGCGCATAAGAGGGGGGCGACCACGGTCTGCGCCCACGAAGTAGAGCCACCATCAGCCTGTAGTCAGCGCGTACACATCGTATCCGACTCTCGAGGTTCGGGGGCACAACGATGCAACGTATTGACGAGACTGGTAGCAGACTGACCTGCTAGGGGAGCGGCCACGGGCAGAAGGCTGAACCACTCGGTGCGTGGCCACTCCCTGACTAAGCCAAACATCAGGTTGACACCGGAAGTATGGCTGACGAACGCACCCGATCTCCACCTGTCACGCAGCCCAAGGGCCGAGTATGCCGGCGCCCGTCGGGAGCCAATGCCTGGCGGCGACCGTGCAGTAGGCCGTCAGCATGTAGGCGGCGTGCTGGCAGCGGGCCGAGACGTCCTGGTGGTAACGCCATGAACGGGTCAGCAGAGAACCACGGCGAGCCACACGTGGGGGGGAGGGGGGGCGTTGCCTGCCGCTGAACGCCGGTGTCACTGTGAGGGGCGAGCCCCCATCCACTGCAGCACCACTCCCGTGCGCTCGCAGGCTGGCAACCAGCCGGTAGCCAGTGCACCCACATCGTATCCGTCTCACGCGGTCCGGGGGCCCAACGATGCGATGTCCTGGCGAAGGCTCGGCATGTGGCTGCACCGATACGGGCCGCTCAAACGGCGAGGGCACTCACCATGGTGTATGGTGTGCGGTAGCCCCCGTCCATCGCATGCCACGCTGTTCCTGCGAAGGACGGGTGCGTCCAGAGCTGGGACAGGCAGACCGCCGGCCGCAGCCTGGCCGCAGGGCAGTACCATTCGCTGGCGGCGTGCAGACCTGCCGGGCTGGGTCAGAACTGCTGCACCCTGGGCGGGTCACAACTTTCACGGACGATGCTATCTATGCTGTTGATCGGGGGGGCGCAGCCGAGAGCCGCAGAGACTTGTGAATAAGAGGTGAGGGATGCAGCCAGATGCCGTAGGACACAGGAGATGAGCCCTGGGCTTCCAAGCACGGGCCGTCTCAGGGCGGGCGCACCTCTGCAGCCGCAGCAATCTTCGCACAGGGGGGGCGCAGCCGAAAGCCGGAGGAGGGGGAGAAGGAGGCGGAGACAAAGCCCAGGGCCCGGGGAACGTGCCCAGGCGACAGAAACGCCCAGGGCATGAATTGGGACGGCCACCCTTCGGCGATTGGTGCAATCTCGGCGGTCATGGTGGGGGCGCGGCCGAAAGCCGCAGAGCCATTGTGAATGAGACAAGGTGGGGAGCGCAGCCGAAAGCCGCAGAGACATTGTGAATGAGAAAGAGTAGAGGGCGCAGCCAATAGCCGCTGAACACAGATGGCGATCCCGAGCATCCATGCACAGAGCTTCCGATCCAAAGGGGATGGGGCTGAGCGCGGGCGGTGCGGTACTTTCGAACCCCAACCGCTGCCGTTCACTATGCTATTAAAGAGGTGGAGCGCAGGAGTTGGGTTATTTCAGCCACCAGACTCTGCGTCCAAAGTGGGCTGCCCTGGAAGGGTGGCACCGACGACTCCACAGCCCATGCCGGCGAATGGGACTGAGCGCGGGCAGTGCGGCGGATGGTTTCGCATCCCGACCACGGCCGTTCACTGTGCGAAAAAGGGTGGAGTGCAGGAGGTGGGTTATTTCAGCCACCGGTCTCTGCCGTCCAAAGTGGGCTGCCCTGGGAGGGTGCATCGACGACCCCAGAGTCCATGTTGGCGGTGGCCTCCGCCGAAGGCCGTGGCCGCAATCCCGTGCAGCAATCGGCCGCGGGGATGGGAGGGCCTGGCAAGGTCCACGTCTCCAGCGTGGGCTGTCTATGTGCGACGCTCATTGGTGTCCCCCGCCCCCGCGAGGGCAGCGCGTATTGGGCCGAGACCGGGTGCTGCAAGGTCCACGAGTCCAGCGTGGGCTGTCTAAGAGCGCAGCGCAAGGGTATTGGTGCTCCTCCGCCCCAAAGGAGGTAGCACAGAGTATTGCGGCACAGGCCGGGCGCTGCGGGTGAAACCGACTGGGGAGGGGGGTTGCGGCAAAAGCCGGGCAGAGAAGGAGCGAGGTAGTGTGTGCTGCGCGCGGCGGGCAGCAAGTAAGATGGTGGGCCGTGGCGGTAACCGTTGCGGCCCTATTCACACTGGGGGGGGGGAAGGCTAGATTCGCGCAGGTTCTCGTTGCGCCCCCGTCATCTGGGACGGGAGTCCCAACCTCGTGGACGCTTGTCAGCGTACGGGTGATCTCCTCTGGGGGAGTAGCGTTTGCCCTTCGCCTTCCAATCCGTGTCGGTCCATGACGCCTCTTGGTGCCCCCAGGCGTCCCAGGACTGCCATCCACGCCACGACGAGCCTGAGCTGGATGCCCCGGTCCACTGGTTTGGCGGGGCCGCACATGTCGCCCCCTTGCCCGCTGTGGTCCATGGGGGTGGGCAGCCACTGCTATCGGTCCCGCGGGCGGTGTGCGGTCTGGCGTCGCGTTGCATGAGTATGCGGTGCCTTTCCTGGACACTCGACCAGTCAACATGGAGCTTGCACTCTCTATCTATCTTATAGGCGTCAAGCTCCGCTTTGCTCCATGCCTGGAGGAAATCGCTGCACTGTTGTGCGGGATTGAGCTTGGGGTCAAACTTGATGTAGTGGCTCCCTTGCCTAGATGCTGCCCTCTTGACCCAGGCGCCCCCGACTCCGTTAAATGCACCTCCCAGCGTCTCCTGCAGCCGTGAGATCTTGTCTGGTGCCGGTTCGCTCCCGCGATACGCGAAGCGAGAACAATCGTGCTCCGGCGGTCGTGTGCCCCGGGAGCGCCCAAGGGGGAGGCCCGAAGTGGCGACACGCCTCAGAACACAGACGACATGTCGACCCCTCTCGCAAGCTTCGTGGGGCGTTCGGATGGACCAACAATCAGCGCCCCTCAAGCGGGAATTCTACCAACGGGTACTTTGGCCAGTGACCCAGCGACCCCAAGCCTTCCCGATGTGGGCAAAGCTGCAATTCAAGAGAAGGCCCTAAAGTTGCAACTTTCGGCAAACATTCAAAGTACCCGTTAGTAAGTATCCGTTACGGTGCCGTTGAAACAAAAATTGGGGCCCAGCCCCGGGATATGCGATGGGGGGGGCATCCATCCTCGGTATGGGGTGCGTCTGAGTGGCCCCCTTGTGGCGTACAGTCGGGGCGTTGACCTAAAGAACCCTAAATGAGGAACGAGGCCCCTTTTTTCCATACGTTAAACTTCGATTCCTCATCGAAAACCGAAGGAAAACCTGAGGCAAGCTGCGAAACACTTAAGGAACGCGGAGCCCCTCCCCAACGAAAAGGGTTCCTTCTTCAGGGCCCCGACTGAATGCCAAGGTTTCCCCGTGCATCTGAGAGGCCACACGGGGGAAGCAAAAAGGCACCGATACCGCCACTCCTCGGGCCTCTCCTTTATTGTGCGCTCTGACCAGAAGTTCGGGGCGGATCCCGCGGTGGCGACGAGGGCCTCCCGGGAGGCCCCAAAAAGGGGAACACGGGCGAAGGGTAGAGGTATGGGCACCCTAGGTTTCTTAATAACGGGCGAAGGGTAGAGGTATGGGTACTCTGGGTGTCTTAACAAGCGTGGGGGGGGTATCTCCCCGACGGGGGTCAACCTCGCCTCGTCGTCACGCTGCGACGGGGGTCGGAGCGCCTTCGGCGCGCGGCGGCTGCCCGCGACGGGGGTCGATTGTGGGGCTCTCGGCGGGGGCAACACGCCCCAGACGCTTATTGAGAGACTCGGAGTACCGCTTCCTCCCCTGACAGGCTTCTCGGGCGGAACTCCCTTCCCTCAAGAATCCCAGGCGTGGCGTGCGAGTTCCAACCTCGAGATTGAATAACAGTGGATACATCGACCCCTAACCCATGCAGGCTTCGTGGAGTTGTCGGATGGACGACCGACTTGGGGCCCAGCCCTGAGATATACGATGGGGGGGCGTCCATCCTCGATAAGGGTGCGTCCGAATAGCACCCGGGGGTGTATCCCAGGATTTCCCCCTGTTTCTGAGCGCCCAAGCTTTCCGGGCGGAACTCGGGGGTTGGGGGAGGAAAACCCCCTGCTAATCATGTTTGAACTCCTCGACGCGGTCTTTCCAAGGCGTTCCTCGAGCGAGATCGGTCCGTGAGGGTACCAGGGCCCGAAACAGGGACTCATTCTGTTCACGACGCTTGGATGTCTGGGTCGGTGTGCGGATGTCCCAGCTACACGCGAAAAGTGGCCCTGGGTAAGAGTGACCTTTGGGGCACGGGTTGCCGATCACTGCATGCGATGCGACAGTTGTGCCCAACGTGCGTCAATTTTGGCCTCCGCGCGCACCCCCCGAAAGCCGCGTAAGAAAGGTCACTCTGGCGAAGAGTCACTCTTACTTGAGCAGGGACCGACCATCCCGGCATTCCTATAGGCCTACCACGACATGTTCTTAGAACCCAGAAATGTTCTAAGGACAAAAGCAACGTTCTTAGAACATAAGCCCGATGTTTTAAAACGAGACAGTCTCAGCGAGAAATATTCTAAGAACATTTCGTGCAGACAATACGAGGTTATTAGAACATGCTTTGGTATTCCTATAGGCGAGCTAGGACGATTCGCCACTGCTTGACGTACGTGTAGCAAGATTCCCCACCCGACAGGTTGGGGCTGAGGCCGGTAGGCTGGAAGCAAAGAACTCCCGCCCCGCCTCGCACACCCGGCATACCGCGGCCACCGGGACAGGAGTGTGGCGGTGTTTCCCGGGGTATCCCGCCTTTCGTGCTCTCGATGAGATGACGATTGCATACCGCAGCCGCAAAGACCAAAGTGTGCCGGCGCTCGATGGATATCCCGCTTTGTGTTCTTGGGTAGGGAGCGCTCGAAGATAACATTTGTTGTGTTTTGTGCTCCTGAGCGGGGGACGCTCGAGGATGAAATGCTTCATGCTGCGCGGAGCCCTCTGCGCCAATCCTTCTCCAGCGTCCTGATCTGCGCGTTCAGCCCGACTGTGCCTCGGACCCCGACCCCCGACGCCATGATCTTTTCATGACGGCGACCCCCAGAGGTGTCGACCTATTCCCCTGGACCCGTTTCTGATCCCGAGTCGTTTTATTGACGGTGCCGAGGCCCGGCAAGGGCCCCCAGAGGCCGAAAATGGTGAACAGCCTCCCGTCGTGATTTTTTCGTTACTCGAGGGGATCTGGGGAAGGACATCCGGCTATCCAGGCCGGCCGCGTAGTGTGTATCCAGCTTCTTGATCTCTGCAGTGCTGCCGATCGTCTGTCGAGGGGTCGTCTGGTGCGGGGTCGGCTCCCATCGGGCGTGAACAGCGTCCCGTCGGGATTTTCGACAAAAAAGATACCCCCACAATAAAAAATAATAAAAAAATAGTCTGGGGACTATGTTTTGAATATGTTTTGACCTTTTTGGGGTCTTTTGGGGGTATTTTTGATTCTTCGTCGAAAATCCCCCTGTAGGGGGACACGCCCAACATAACACTACTCGAGGGGGTCTGGGGAGGACGGCGGCGCCCCGGCGGCAAGACCTCCCGGGCCCCACGGGAGCCGCACGGGGCCTCGGGCCTCGGCGGCGCACCCGATAGGCGGCTGCAGCCTTGGGCCCGGCGCGCATCCTCGGACACTCCAAGACCAGCCTCGAGCGCTGATCCCTCTCCCGGGGTCGACAGGAGGCCCACGGCGACGACACCCTGGAAATCTACGCCCTGCGACACTCGGGGGCGGCCAAAAGGGGGGGGCCCAAGAGGGGGGGGTGCAAATCCTGACCGGCGGCATGTGCGCGGCCCAGCGGGGGGGCCAGGGACGTAGTGAAGTGAGAAGAGGCGCCATGAAACATGGGGAAATATCATGGCCCACGCCATGACATCCCCCCCCCCTTAGTCATCACCCCCCTCCTTGCCGCCCCTGAGGCACCGAAGCCTCGGGATTGGCACCAGGGTGAGGAGAGGGGAAGGGGGAGGAGGAGGAGGAGGAGGAGGAGGAGGAGGAGGATGAGGAGGAGGAGGAGGAGGAGGGGAGGAGGAGGGGGAGGAGGAGGAGGAGGAGGAGGAGGAGGAGGAGAGGAGGAGGAGAGGAGGAGGGGGAGGAGGAGAGGGGAGGAGGAGGAGGAGGAGGAGGAGGAGGAGGAGGGGCATGATTCGGCGGCTCCGAGAGGTGCGGCCTGCAGAGGGTGCGGCTGGTACTCGGCACCCTGGGGGCCACCCGGGGGGGGGGGCGGGGGGGGGGCCTCGATAGGATTCTCCGCCGCGCCTCGAGGAGACCCGACGAGGACAGAGTCGTGCTCCTCCGGCCCCAGCGGTGCCGATCGCAGGCCACACCCCGGCGTAACCATGCCCTGCGCAGTCGCCGAGTCTTAGCTGCCCCGATACGCAACTCCCAGCACGCAGCGTCTCGACACAGAGCTCCACACGTAAACTGAACACGTAGGCCTGACGCGATACGCTCGCCAAAACGTGGGCCAATACGTTGAGCCAACACGCATGCAACGCATTGACACGGACGTTTTGAGCACGGTGTGTGTCGCGTATCAAGTTCAAGCGTATTGAGGCAGCTAAGCGCCGAATGTTTCAGGCTGGTGATTCTCCGCTCCCTCCAGCCTGGACTTTGCAAAGTCCCGGCCTGCAGTGTCCGGGCAACCGGGGGCCCGGGGCCGGCCAGCGGCTGTCCTCTCCAGCCGCTTGTGCGGGTGCGCCCCCCCACCGCCCCCCCCCACCCCCCCCTTCGAGGAGTCGCAAGGCCACCGAAGAGGCTTCCCATGTTCGAGCCTGCGACCCGGATGCGGGCAACAGTTATATCCACATCTAGTGCGTCTTGAAGCTTTGGGCTCTCTTCCCCAGTAACCGGAAGCGCACCGGATATGGATAAAAATCGTGCCCCAGAAGGTTCGATTATTACCCATATCCAGTGTGCCTCGGCCTTGCGGCACCCCTTCCCAACAAGACCACGACGCTCTGGATATGGATATAAGTATTGCCCGCACCAGAACCTGGAACACACACGCACACACACGCACACACACACACGGCTGGGCTCGCATGTGAGCGGCGAGACACAACGGGTCTTGCGCCACATGGCGTGGCGACCTCGCGCGGCGGCTTCCGCGGGCCGCCTTTCGCGGCACGCAGCACTGGGAGCAGAGGGCCCTCGCGCCCGACCTCGCGCGGGAGGCTTCTGCGCGGGCGCCGGCGCAATCGCACCCGCTCTCCTGCGCCGCTCCTTCGAGCGACGATGCAACACGGGTCTTGCGCGAGATGGCGCAGCGACCTCACGCGGTGGCTGACGCGGGCCGGCGCGGCACGGCACGCCATGCTGGAAACGAGGGCGCTCCCGCCCGACCTTGCGCGGGAAGCTCACGCGCGAGTGTCGGCGCCATCGAACTCATAGCGTGGGCAGGACTGGGCTTAGTGGGACCTGGTCAGCGATGGGTACTGGGGGACGCCCCCCCCCGCCCCGTTCCGCTATGACCGGAACTGCCGTCACCCGAAGAAGCACCAGCTACGGCAGACCTGGCTTCATGATCCTCGCCAGCTCAAGGGCTCTGGGGCCCTACCACTAACCGGGTCCCCTTGCCTGGGGTCCTGGCTACACCCCCGACCCCTGACGTCATGATTTTTTCATGACGTCGACCCCCCGAGGTCTCGACCTATTCCCCGGGACCGGTTTCTCGTCCCGAGTCGTCTTTTGACGGTCCCGAGGCCCGGCAAGGGCCCCGAGGGGGCGAAAATGTAGAAAAACCTCCGGTCGTGATTTTTTCACTATGCTCGAGGGGGTCTGGCCATACCCGAGAACTCGTTTTCCTGCGTCGCTCATGCAGCGCATCCGGAGGCCTTCCCGCGCCGGCTGCCTACTGGGGAGGGCCTGCACACCTGGCCATACAGTTTTTACCTAACAGCTTGTTCTGATAGGTTTCTAGTAGGGTCAAAAGAGAGCAGCAGATGACTCCACAGGGGGGTCTGGGCGGGTGCCGGACAGGGTGCCGCAGAAGTCGTTTTAAGCCAACAGTCACACACTTCGTGCTCTTCGACCTCCCAGAACTCCATTCCCGGGCCACATTCTGAATGCCCGGAGCCAACTGTAGGCCACTTCGTGCTCTTCGACTTCCCAGAACTCCATTCCCGGGCCACATTTTGAATGCCCGGAGCCAACTGTAGGCCACTTCGTGCTCTTCGAGTTCCCAGAACTCCATTCCCGGGCCACATTTTGAATGCCCGGAGCCAACTGTAGGCCACTTCGTGCTCTTCGAGTTCCCAGAACTCCATTCCCGGGCCACATTTTGAATGCCCGGAGCCAACTGTAGGCCACTTCGTGCTCTTCGATTCCCAGAACTCCATTCCCGGGCCACATTTTGGATGCCTGGGCCAACTGTAGGCCACTTCGTGCTCTTCAAGTTCCCAGAACTCCATTCCTGGGCATGATTTTGAATGCCCGGAGCCAACTGTAGCCACTTCGTGTTCTTCTGTTCCCAGAAACATTCCTGGGCCACATTTTGAATGCTGAGGCAGGCTGATGCTGCGGCCGAGGCAGGCTGAGGCTGAGGCTGAGGCTGAGGCTGAGGCTGATGAGGCTGAGGCTGAAGCAAACTGAGGCTGAGGCTGATGCAGGCTGAGGCTGAGGCAGGCTGAGGCTGAGGCCGAGGCTGAGGCAGACTGAGCTGAGGCTGAAGCAGGCTGAGGCTGAGGCTGAGGCAGGCTGAGGCTGAGGCAGGCTGAGGCTGAGGCTGAGGCAGGCTGAGGCTGAGGCTGTGACTGCGACTGCCGTTGCCGCTGCGACTGTCATCGCGAATGCGACTACGACTGCGAGAACAGCAGAATTCTACAACTGGATTTTCATCTGAATCTTAAGGGGAATGCTTTCAGATATGCTTCTACACATCGCTGTTAGGTTGCTTTGCCGGGATAATTACCTAACAGCTCTTGCTGATAGGTTTCTAGTGGTCTCAAAAGAGACCATCAGATGACTCCACAGGGGGGTCGGGGCGGGACCTGGACAGGCTGCCGCCGCGGCTGCCGCCGAAGCCCAAATCGCTTGGGACATCCTCGCAAAATCGCTCTTGGCGCTGCTAGAACTCCATCCCCGGCGTACATTTTGGATGCCCGGAGCCAACTGTAGGCCACTTCGTGCTCTTCGACTTCCCAGAACTCCATTCCCGGGCCACATTTTGGATGCCCGGAGCCAACTGTAGGCCACTTCGTGCTCTTCGATTTCCCAGAACTCCATTCCCGGGCCACATTTTGGATGCCCGGAGCCAACTGTAGGCCACTTCGTGCTCTTCAAGTTCCCAGAACTCCATTCCTGGGCATGATTTTGAATGCCCGGAGCCAACTGTAGGCCACTTCGTGTTCTTCTAGTTCCCAGAACTCCATTCCTGGGCCACATTTTGAATGCTGAGGCAGGCTGATGCTGCGGCCGAGGCAGGCTGAGGCTGAGGCAGGCTGAGGCTGAGGCTGAGGCTGAAGGCAGACTGAGGCTGAGGCTGAAGCAGGCTGAGGCTGAGGCTGAGGCAGGCTGAGGCTGAGGCTGAAGCAGGCTGATGCTGAGGCAGGCTGAGGCTGAGGAGGCTGATGCAGGCTGAGGCTGAGGCAGGCTGAGGCTGAGGCCGAGGCTGAAGGCAGACTGAGGCTGAGGCTGAAGCAGGCTGAGGCTGAGGCTGAGGCAGGCTGAGGCTGAGGCAGGCTGAGGCTGAGGCTGAGGCAGGCTGAGGCTGAGGCTGTGACTGCGACTGCCGTTGCCGCTGCGACTGTCATCGCGAATGCGACTACGACTGCGAGAACAGCAGAATTCTACAACTGGATTTTCATCTGAATCTTAAGGGGAATGCTTTCAGATATGCTTCTACACATCGCTGTTAGGTTGCTTTGCCGGGATAATGTTTACCTAACAGCTCTTGCTGATAGGTTTCTAGTGGTCTCAAAAGAGAGCATCATGACTCCTCAGGGGGGTCTGGGCGGGACCCGGAAAGGTTGCCGCCGAAGCCGAAATCGCTTGGGACATCCTCGCAAAATCGCTCTTGGTGCTCCCAGAACTCCATTCCCGGGCCACATTTTGGATGCCTGGAGCCAACTGTAGGCCACTTCGTGCTCTTCGACTTCCCAGAACTCCATTCCCGGGCCACATTTTGGATGCCCGGAGCCAACTGTAGGCCACTTCGTGCTCTTCGACTTCCCAGAACTCCATTCCCGGGCCACATTTTGGATGCCCGGAGCCAACTGTAGGCCACTTCGTGCTCTTCAAGTTCCCAGAACTCCATTCCTGGGCATGATTTTGAATGCCCGGAGCCAACTGTAGGCCACTTCGTGTTCTTCTAGTTCCCAGAACTCCATTCCTGGGCCACATTTTGAATGCTGAGGCAGGCTGATGCTGCGGCCGAGGCAGGCTGAGGCTGAGGCAGGCTGAGGCTGAGGCCGAGCTGAAGGCAGACTGAGGCTGAGGCTGAAGCAAACTGAGGCTGAGGCTGAGGCAGGCTGAGGCTGAGGCTGAGCAGGCTGATGCTGAGGCAGGCTGAGGCTGAGGCTGAGGCTGATGCAGGCTGAGGCTGAGGCAGGCTGAGGCTGAGGCCGAGGCTGAAGGCAGACTGAGGCTGAGGCTGAAGCAGGCTGAGGCTGAGGCTGAGGCAGGCTGAGGCTGAGGCAGGCTGAGGCTGAGGCTGAGGCAGGCTGAGGCTGAGGCTGTGACTGCGACTGCCGTTGCCGCTGCGACTGTCATCGCGAATGCGACTACGACTGCGAGAACAGCAGAATTCTACAACTGGATTTTCATCTGAATCTTAAGGGGAATGCTTTCAGATATGCTTCTACACATCGCTGTTAGGTTGCTTTGCCGGGATAATTTTGATCCGCGGGTCGAGAGCGAGCCTCTTCCGATAGAAGCTAAGCGGGCCACGCACAGCTTTAATTAGCGGGGGGGGCAAAAGAAGGCGGGGCCTCACGTCAAGGCCAAGGGAGGGCAAAGCCCTGGGATCAGGCGGTGCCGAAACCGAAGTGCAGGAAGAGGTAACACCTGGCCATACAGAGGATGCTGCATTACAACGGGGCCGACCTCAAGAGGCCTGCCACGAGCAGCCCCGCCCTGAGACCTCCCAGGGCACCCATTGATTTTTGGTGCGGGAGCGTCACCCCAGACCCCCTCTGAGGCGGCCCCGTTGTAATGTAGCATCCCCTGTATGGCCAGGTGTGCAGGCCCTCCCCAGTGGGCAGCCGGCGCGGGAAGGCCTCCGGATGCGCCGCATGAGCGACGCAGGAAAACGAGTTCTCGGGTATAGCCAGACCCCCTCGAGCATAGTGAAAAAATCACGACCGGAGGTTGTTCACCATTTTCGGCCTCTGGGGGCCCTTGCTGGGCCTCGGGACCGTCAAAAGACGACTCGGGACGAGAAACCGGTCCTGGGGAATAGGTCGAGACCTCGGGGGGTCGACGTCATGCAAAATTCATGACGTCGGGGGTCGGGGTCACCTGAGCATTTTCTTCGGGTGGAGGGCTCAGGGTGAAACCCATACGGGCCTTGGCACCTCGAAGATCAGTCTGTCTCGTGATTCACCTCTTGCAGAGTCAAGCCTCGAAAATCCATCGAAACAGCATGTCAGATTTCACCCTTCGCCCTCCACCCACCAAAGAAAATGCTCGGGTCACGCTTTCCATAGCAAAACCATCGAAACCCAAGAAACCCGGGGCGGGGCATCCTGGAGGCAAGCAGGGTGTTTCTTGGCATAGGTCTCCACTGCAAGTTCTGGACCCCGACCCCCGACGTCACGACTTGTTCATGACGTCGACCTCCAGAGGTTTCGACCTATTCCCTGGGACTGGTTTTTCATCCCAAATTGCTTTGTGACGTTCCCGCAGCCCAGCAAGAGCTCCCAGAGGCCGAAAATGGTGAACAATCTCCCGTCATGATTTTTTCATCGCTCGAGGGAATCTGGGGAAGGACATCCGGCTATCCAGGCCGGCCGCGTAGTGTGCATCCAGCTTCTTGATCTCTGCAGTACTGCCGATCGTCTGTCGAGGGGTCGTCTGGTGCGGGGTCGGCTCCCATCGGGCGTGGACTGAGCCGGATCGGCGCAAACCTGCCTCCCTGACTCCGGATCCACCCTACTTTGGGGAAATTCGTAAGTAGGGCTTGGAATTTCCGCCTTACTTTTCAAGCCCCGCTGATGCCAATTTCCGCCCTACTTTTCTGTTGTTGTTTCCGCCCTACTTCTGTGGATTTTCGCCCCACTTTATGCTGGGTGCAGGAATTTCCGCCCTACTTTTTCGGCTCCTTATAGGTGGATTTCCGAAGCAATTTTAAGTTGGAAAGAAAGCCAAAGTAGGGCGGATCCGGAGTCAGGGCTGTCTCAATGTGGGAAAACAGCGATGGTTTGTTCGTTTTGGGCGGGTTGCTTCCCAAACCCGGCTCGGTCTGTGTGTAAGGCCACCTACGGGGCCCGCCATCTTGGCCCCCTAGGGTGTAGCGCGTCATGCTGCTCACGGTACTATGTCGAAGTGGTGCTACTTCTGTTCCTCGGGCTCGCGCTGACCTTCCCATCTCCTCCTTCCCTTGTGTCCGCCGACCCTCCGTTACATCCTTACCTCCCCGCCCGTTCGAGCAAGGCTTGAGCCAAGATTCCAGGCGAGGCGGAGCGAGCGTTGGACATACAGCGCAGATCTTAATTCACAACGCATATGTAATGTACTTTGTGCAGGCCTCCGCCACCACAATACGGGGTGTCTGGCGACATCAATCCCTGGCTTCGTGAATTTTCGACTAGACGAAACACATGGCCCTATTCGGTTGAGATGCGATCGGGGGCGACCATGGGCGACTATCCTCGATAGGAGTGCGTCCGTAAACCCCCGCGGAGGTGCATCCCTCAGTTCAGATTCTTGTCCGAGCGGCTTGATTCAGGGGAGGAGGACCCAGGGGTTCGGGGACGAGGAGTCGCCTGCGAACGCAATGTGATCTTTTTAGAGGGTCTCCGCCCCCATGGGAAGCCAGGCAACCACGTCTGAGGCCGCCCGAGGCCCCGGCTGTCGTCTCCCCCGCCGCCCGTCTGTAGGCCGAGCTTGATCCGCTCCTCGACGACCTGCCGCTGGCTCCGGGATAGGCGGAGGGAGGCGCTGACGTTTGGGGGGAAATCTGGGGAGGCGTCTATTCCTGCCCCAGACCCGCACCGTCACGATTTGTTCATTACGTCGATCCCCCGAGGTCTCGACCTATTCCCCAGGACCGGTTTTTCATCCCGAGTCGTCTGTTGACGGCCCCGGGGGCCCGGTACGGGCCCCGAAAGGGGGCGAACACGGCGAAAACCCTGCCGCGATGATTTTGTTCATTGCTCGAGGGGGTCCAGGGCTCCTGCTCCTCCTCGTCCACGCCCTCGCCCTCGTCCCCGGCCCTCCCTCGGCAGCGCTGCCGCCGCTGGGCCGCCGTGGGTCGCCTCCGCCCCGCGCGGGCGCTGGCCGCCCTGCCGCGTCCCGCGGGGAGCCTCCCCCGCCTCCCTCCCCCTCCCTCGGGGCCCTGGCCGGGTGGTGCAGAGCACGCCTCGGCAACGCTCCGGGATGAGCCTGCAGGCCAGCTGCTGGCCCGCCTAGCATTAGGTCTGGCGTGTCCCCCCACAGGCGGGTTGTCGACGAAACTGACAACACAGTCCAAACAGAGTCCAGACATGCTCAAACATAGTCCAAACATCGTCGCCAGACTATTTTGCTACTGTTGTGGAATATCCCCCCTGTAGAGAGAGGGGCAGGCCCGACGTAAGCCCAGCATAGAGCACGAAGCAACAGCACAGCAAAAACTCGCAGGTCCGCCCGGACCTGTTCTGCTCGGCGCCGGGCCGCCCCGCCGGCACCTCCGGCGCCGCCCCCCGTGGCGCGCTCCGCGCGGGGCTTGCTGTGCCGACGCCTCTGCTGCGACGCTCCAGGCCCGCGTCCCGCGGAGCGAAGGTAAACTGCAGGTTATCTCGCCAGCCCCTCGGAGGGGAGCGCGATAAAGGGCTGCTAAGTAAGCCCGACTGCAAGGCCACGGCGCCAGATCGGGCCGGGTCAGGCCTGGAACGAAGGCATGTGAAGCTGAACTCAGCGGAAGGAGGCCAGATAAAAGCGACCAGGGCGCACACCAGCGCCGATGCTGTCCCAGGAGATGCATCCTGACCACCCTTCTTCCCACCACCCCTTTCCGACGGTTCTCCAGTGCTTTCTGGCATCCCCCCCAACCACGGTATGAGGGAGGACGAGGTGCGAGGAGGAGGTTCGGGGCTCGGGGCCGTGGGGCGCTCTCGGCCGTTCTTGGGCTCCCTGAGGCCTCACAAGTGAGGCGATGAGGCGAGGACGAGGCGGCTGCATTCAACCTTCCCCCCCGCCCGACTTCCCAGACGTCCGACGGGTGGGTCACTCCGCGGGCCCCTCCTCCTCCTCCTCCTCCTCCTCCTCCTCCTCCTCCTCCTCATCCTCCTCCCCAGAAGTGGGGAGCCCAGCCGTGTACGTGCATGAAGATGCCCCCCCCCCCCCCCCGGGCTCACGAGGGCCGGCCTCTTGCTGCGAGCGCTCGAGCAGCGCATGCCCTCGAAACCCGCGGAGAGGGACGCGTTACGTTCTCTGGGTAGTCGAAGCCAATCTGGCGCCAATCTGGCAGGCCCAATCTGGCAAACGGGGGCAATCTGGCGAGGGAGCCAACGCGAATCCAGTCTGGCGAATAACCCAAATCCTCCAAATGGCCAAGCCAGATTGGCCCTTGGGGCCCAATCCAGTCTGACAGTCTGGCCTTCGACTACCCAGGAAGTTCCGTTCCAGGTCCTGGAAAGAGGTCGACTCCTCCCACAAAGGTAGTTTGCCGTCGCGGATCCGTTTCTGACGGCCCATGTCGAGTGTGTGTGTGTGTTCCTCGCACAGCGCAGAAGCTGGAAGCCGGCACGGGGTCCGCTCAGCGTGACCTGGGGGCGGCACGCTCCCCAGACGAGCGACAAATGCCGAACGTCTTATGTACACTATTGAACCAGTCCTCTGCCTGAATTTTCTTGTCGACGCGTTCTGCGGCAAAGAGATGTGTCAACTGCCGTCCCGTCAACGTGGCCGATACTCGCGCCACCGAAACTAGCGAATGATCAACACCTGGGAGGGGGTAGGAGGAGGAGGAGGAGGACGACGAGGAGGAGGAGGAGGAGGAGGACGAGGAGGAGGAGGGGAGGAGGAGGAGGAGGAGGAGGAGGAGGAGGAGGAGGAGGAGGGAAAGCGACCACTGAACTCTCTGCGGCTCGTTCTCAATGCGATTCGGCTTCAAGGAAATCGGGTTGCGAGCCAATCGGTCGCGGCTGGCGTGGTGGCGGAGCTGCCCGTGACAATAATTGATCGGGCGATCGTGAGAAGCGCCGTGCCACATTGACGGGCTGCCCTGCGAGAGGTGGCTGAGACAAATGGCCTCACTGCAATAGCTCCCGACTCGGGTGGAAGGGGAAGGAGGAGGAGGAGGAGGAGGAGGAGGAGGAGGACGATGAGGAGGGAGGGGGGGGCAGCATGGAGACCAAAGAGGCTCGCACGCGAGCCGGATGCTTAAAACCCTGGCCCCTGCCAGCAGCAAGCAGGCGCCTGCCGCAAGGGGAAGGCCCCGAGTCGGATCGCTCTGCGAGATCTGCGAGGGGGCCCCCGCGGGCCCGCATCCAGGCGAGAGCGCCATGCATGGCACGAGCGGCGACGCCAGGATCAAGGGATCGAACATGGAGGAATCGAGGGTTTGGGACGCCCGACGCGGGTGCGGAACAAACATTGGTCCAATGCCCAACAACAGATGTGGTCCCGAACCAGCAGCGGCTGGTGTCGGGACGCAAACGGACGCAGTCCGCGGCGACGCCGACAGCGAGCCCTGTTCACAGTGGACAGGAACTGCTGTTAGTCTTCGGACCCATCCTTCCCGTGGCCCTTCCGATCGTCCCGACGGATCGAGGAATCGACGATCGGGTGGGGGGGCACCCGGCCGCGGTCTGCCCCGAGGAGCCTCACGGACGAACGCCTTCGTCGAGTCGTCGAGGACGGTCTCCAGCGGCTCGTAGAACATGACGGGCTGCTCCTTCAGGTTCTGGAGCAGCTGCACGGCCTGGGCCCGCAGCCCCACTGCCTGCTCGCCCTGCCCCCTCCTCCCTCCAATCCTCTCCTCCTCCTCCTCCTCCTCCTCCTCCTCCTCCTCCTCCTCCTCCTCCTCCCTCCAATCCTCTCCTTCTCCTCCTCCCTCCAATCCTCTCCTTCTCCTTCTCCTTCTCCTCCTCCTCCTCATCCTCCTCCTCCTCCTCCTCCTCCTCCTCCTCCTCCTTCCCCCTCCCGCACCTCGTCGTCTCGGCGGGCTTCGTGCTCGTGAGCACGGGCCTGCCGCAGGCCCCGTGTGCTCCCTGGCCGCGCCGCGGGCGGCCTGCTTTGAGGTAGGCAGGTACCTCTTCTCCCCCCCCTGGTGCTTGCAAGGTGGTCCTGGCCTTCGGGCTCCACCGTGTAGATGCTTGGGGGGGGGATGAGGTGCTTGCGTGCCTTCCCTCCCTCTGGATCCTGCTGCCTCTCGGCGTCCGCTCGCTCGCTCGCTCGATCCTTCCCCCTCCTCCCTCCCTCCCGCCCTTCCTCCTTCTTATCCTCTTCCTCCCCCCTCTTGCTGATCCTCCTCGTCACACCCTCCTCATCCTCCTCCTCTTGCTCCTCCTCCTCCTCCTCCTCCTCCTCCTCCTGCTGATCCTCCTCCTCCCCCTCATGTTCCTCCTCCTCCTCCTCCTCCTCGTCTTCCTCCTCCTCCTTCTCCTCCTCCTATGCTGCGCAGAGCAAAACTGCGCCCTTTCTTCCTCCCCCTCCTGCATTATCCTTGACATGGTGCCTGTGCCAAATGCCCCTGCGTATGGCGGCAAACTGGCGAACGCTCTGAAACAACATCCGTTAGAAAGAATCCTCCTCAATGCCATTCTCTTCTAAATGACTCCTTCCTGTCGCGCCCCGAGGCCAATCGAAAAGGCGGCCGGGCGTTTCGCACTAGACTTCCTCACCATGTATGATCCGGAAGCTTCGGAATTTGCGACCATGTCTCGGATTGAGGGCGAGTGTATTCAAAATATGGCTCCCTCCTGGGCGCCGCGCACATTCGTCTTAAAAGGTTGCAGTAGTTTCACGGATGGAGGGCGGGCCATCTTCAACGTATGGCTCTCGCTATGGTGCCGAACACATTCGCCTTACACATTTGAAGCAGCTTCAACTATTGAGGACGAGTCATTTTCAAAATGTGGCTATCGTCATAGCGCCACGAACATTCGTCTCAAAAATTGCAGCAGCTTCGCGGATGGAGGGCGGCTGCTCTCCAACATGTGTCTCTCGCCTTAGCTCCGCGCACATTCGTCTTAATAGTTTGCAGCAGCTTCAAGGTTCGAATGGGCCACATCTACTAGATGTTGTTGTGGCAGGATGTCGGACAACCCTGGCGCAACAATTACGTTGATTCGTGGTGCTCAAATACCACAAACGGTGTTCTGGTAATTACGACTCAGGATCGTCAAGACGCAACAGTAACGGTGACTCGAAGCGTTGGAATCCCAGGAGTGGTATTCGAGCACCGATTCGATTTTCAAACGGTCGTCTTCCAACGGGGCATTTCCCTCAGTAAAGTTGAACCCTTGTGGGGGCCAATGAAGCAGGAACTTTGGGGTAAGGTCTTGTATTACAATATTGTTGGAGAGTCTTGGGTTTGAGTTGGTCCTCCTCCTCCTCCTCCTCCTCCTCCTCCTCCCCCCCCTCTTCTTGCGTCCTCGCCCACCCACCAACCCGCCCCGCTCCCCACCTTCCTGGCCCCAATCCCCCGTCCGCCCGATCCTGCTGCTTCTCCACATCCCCCTACGCCTCCTCGCCCTACGGCAGGTTCGCGTTGTGCTGGCCCCGGAGTTGCTTCCTGACACCGCGGGGATCATTAATTCTTGAACGATCGGCTGGTTCCGAAACGTCAGATCGTTCAACATCGACCGATTCTGGGTCGCCGGCGGCGTCCAAGGTTGAACGCGGGCGGCGAGGTCGCCGCCAGTCGACACGACGCGAACCTACCATACCGCTGCTCCACGGACCTCTCCCGCGGTGCGTTCTGATCAGAACTTCGGGGCGAGTCCAGCCGTGGCGACGAGGGCCAACCCAGAGGCCCAGAAGGACGAGCACGGGGGAGGGGCGTCGGTATCGGCACCCGCTCCTCCGCTGACCTCCTCCCATCCCTTCTCACCCTTGGCGTCGTCCGTCGTCCGCCGCCGTGCGCCGCCAGCACCGCCGACCGGGTCCGAAGTCCGCGGCGCCCACCGCCTGTCCGTCGCCGCTGCGGGCAGCCGCCCGTCCTGAGGTGCAGCGCTAAAGGTAGCGTTGAGTCGGGGGTGTTCCCCTACAGGCGGATTTTGGATGAAAAATGACAAATCATAGAAAGTGCCCCAGAATGTTCAAGAATAGACGAACAATCGTCCCCTTACGATTTTGAATGCTTGCGGGTGGCGGCATCGGTGCCTTTTCCTCAGATCCCGCTGCTCGCGCACCTCCCCGCGGCGGCGCGCTCAAGGAGGCACGGGGGGAGGCGCGCAGGATTCTCAGAAGGGGTCTGCTCTTCAGAGCGCCACTACAGCTACAGACGAGGCCAGCGCGTGCTATGAAGCAGGGTGCTTCTGAGGAGCCTTCTCCCCTCCCCCTGCCCTCGGGTCGGGCATGTCCCCCTACAGACGGATTTTGGACGAAAGATACAAAGTACCCAACATATGTTTCAAACATGGCCAAACATAATAGAAAAATCGCCTCCAGACTATTTTTGGACTATTTCTGAATACTTCTCCTGAAGAGGGACAGGCTCGACTTGACCCATACCCCCTCTGCGCTCGACGATTCCCCCCCTGCCCCTTCTCGCCCTGCCTGGGAATCCCACAAAAAGAGCCTACCCGCCAAGCCACGTGCATGGAACGTTGGCGCAATGCGTACTTTCGAACCGAACGTGGATTCACGTACGTGTACGGTAGGTTCGCGCGGCGTCGGCGTGCGCAAAGGTTTTTGACACAGCGTCGATCTTTAACCTTGAATCGATCGCGGCCCCAATTGTTCGAAATTGAATTCGATCGGGTCCAATGACGTTACCGTGTGCATCGGTGCTCCCGCGTCGCAGAATTCCACCTTGAACGCCTTCGCCGGCGTCGCCGGCAAGCCAACGCCGCATGAACCTACCATACGTGTACGTCCTTCTTTCGCTCCTGACTGCACATGAGGGCCAGGGGGATCTTGTTTACAAGTATCTTGAACGAAGCAACCCGCATGTTTATAGGTTATCCCTAAAAACCGATGACTTGAGTCAGGCCACGAATTCGGTGTGTTGTAAGATTGAAGGTTGCATTCTGATTGATGATTCCCCCTGCTCCTTCAACCCTTGTGCTGCATCTTCTGGGGACCTTGTCTGTCCCGTCGCGCCGAGATCCGCGTCGAATCCGTGTCGAATCCGTGCAAGCGAGTCTAGTCCGTGTCGAATCCACGTCGAATCCATGCCGAAACCACGTCGAAGTCGCGTCGGATCAGCGTCGAACCCACCTCGGAGTACAAGAAACAACTGCAATTCACAGGACAGGAAAGGCCCCCTGAAGATGCAAAATAAGAGCTCGGAGTGCTGTTAGGATTAGGGGCTGTGTTATGCTTAATGGTCCCCCTGCTCATTCAAGCCCTGCCTAGGGGAACAAACAATGACATAAACATAAAAACTCAGAGGTCCGCGCCGTTTTTTTGGATCGGAGCTGGGGCCCCCTGGCGGCGCCTCCGGCGCCGCCCCCTGGCGCGCTCCGCGCGCCAGGGAGGGGGGGGTCCAGCGCCGATCGGAGCAATCCGCGCGGACCTCTGAGTTTCTATGTTTATGTTATGATTTGTTTCCCTACTCCAAATCCCATATTAATCGTCCCCCAGGTCCGGATAAGAGGCGCCTTTCTTGTAACTCGGGGGTCCGCTTTATTAGGGCGCTTTTGGATTGGAGCTTCGAGGGTCCGGCTTATCAAGGCGCCCCGTCGAAGAGGGGGGTCCGGAATATTAGGTCGCAGTTGGAAGGGGGTCGGGTTTTTAGGGGGGGGGGTCGATTAATAAGGCAGCTGCGGCATCATCTCCCTCCACCTCGTCCTCCTCCTCCTTCCCCTTTCCCCTCCTCTTCCTCCTCCTCCTCCTCCTCCTCCTCCTCCTCCTCCTCCTCCTCCCCCCTCCTCCTCGGGTCGATCAATAAGGTGTTTGTTTCCCTGCTGCCCCTCCCCCCCCCCCCCCGCGCACCGCGGGCTCTCGGGCGCCGCCGCCGCCGCTGCTCCTCCCCAAGCCTCCCCCGTTGGGCGGGCCTCGGGGCTCAGCGTGCGCTGCCGGTCCCGGTGCTGCGCCAGCTCCCGCAGGTAGGAGCGCCGCGCCTCGCTGAGCTTGATGCTCAGGTCCTCGCTGGGCTCAGCACGCAGCCGGGTATAAAAAACTGAGCCCAGACCCTCTCGAGCCATGAAGAAAACACGGCGGGAGGTTGTTCACCATCTTCGGCCTCTGGGGGCCCCTGCCGGGCATCGGGACCGTCAAAAAACAACTCGGGACGGAAAACCGGACTCAGGGAATAGGTCGAAACCTCTCGGGGGCGACGTCAAGACAGAAATCATGTCGTCGGGGGTCTGGGGTCCGGTGAAACTAAGCGGCCCTCGACGTGCACACCTGCCCGACGCAACCCCCAAAGGTAGACCCCCGCCCTTCGCGCGCGTCTACATGTCAAGGTCCTGCAGGTTGGGGTCTACATTTCAGGGTGCTCAGGTCTCGTGAGGGTCGACATTTCAGGGTCTGCTTTGTCGGGTTTACATTTGAGCCTCCTTGCGCGGGTATACAGTTTGAGCAGTTTGAGGCCCCTCTCGCGGGTCTACATTTGGGGGGGCTGTCAGCGCAAGGCTGCACGTAAGGGTGACCCTAGGCAAGAGTGACCGTTGTCACCAGCACCTTTTGGGTCCCGCACTCTTCAAGAGCTTGACACTGGAGTCTGGTAGAAGCCTGCAGAGTCTGGAGAACTCTAGCAAACGTCTGCAGAATTCTGTGCAGTGTGGCAGAAGTCTGCAGCACTCTTCGGCGGGCTGTTCGACTCTGGGACGCCGCGAGCTCGAGGCGTCGCACGGCACGCGGGCAATGCAACCGCCGACACCGCCCGAAGACGGGCACCAAGGTGTTGCCAACAGGGGCCAGCACGGCTGTGGTCCCAGCATTCAATAACGGCGCTGCGGGCCCCTGGGGCACAGCCAGGGGAGGGCATTCGCAAGGCGCCACGTTGCACAATGCACCGCATGGTGCGGCACCACGCATCCCGGAGCAACGCGGAAACCCTAGTTGCGCTTGATGCGCAGGTCCTCGCAGACAAGAGCGCGGCAGGTGCCCCTGGGTGCCCGCCAGCAGACTGGGGAACGCTCCATAACAGCGTACGTTGGAAGGACTCCTCCTCCTCCTCCACCTCCTCCTTCTCATCTTTTTCCCTGGGCCATCGCCCACCCACAGCCCGCCTCGCTCGACCCCTTCCGTCCCCCTCCCCCACCCCGCGTCCGCCAGATCATGCTGCTCCTCCAACTGGCGCTACACCCGACGACCCCGGCCTCAGGCAACAGAACCTTCGCGCGCTCGCGCCCCGCGGAGCGCAAAGCGCGGTTTTCTTCGCGCTCTCGCGCCGCCCCTCCCACACCAGCGAGGAGAGGAGGGGGCGCGCGGCGCGAGGCGCGAGGAGAGGAGGCGAAGAAGCGAGGAGAGGAGGCGAGGGAGGAGCAGGGACGAAGGGGCGGGGGTCGAGGAGGAGGAGGAGGAGGAGGAGGAGGAGGAGGAGGAGGAGGAGGAGAGGAGGAGGGAGGAGAGGGGGAGGAGAGGAGGAGGAGGGAGGAGGAGGAGGAGGAGGAGGAGGAGGAGGAGGAGGAGGAGAAGGATGAGGAGGAGGAGGAGGGACTCGCTCCTCGCTCTGAAATCGCCCAGGCCGCGAAGCGCGACAGACCTCTCGCACCCTCGTGGTGGCCCTAGCCAGCGCTGGTTTCCACCAACACCACGTGGAGCGTTCAACCTTGAGCGATCGGCGGCTTTCCGATAGCGAGGTCGCTCCATATTGGCTGATTCAGCGCCCACGGCGGGGTCGCTGCCGCGTTTGCTCGACACGAGCCTACCGAAGGGGGCACATCCCAACCCCACCCCCACCAACCATCGACTCTCCTGAATCGATGGGAGGCAAGGGCAGGGTTCGGATTTCGCCGCGTGTTCGACGAATTTCGAACCCTACCCGCGTCGCCCATCGAGTTGCCTGACTCGTTCATCGGCGAGGGCAGGGTTTGGATCTCGCCGCCGAGAGAGGCGACAATCGCCGGAGGGTGTAACGGGGTTCGGCGCAAATCGGGGTCAGTGGGAGTCTGGGGTCGCCGCACGATTTGGGGACTCGGGCCGTTCTCCGAGGATACCTCGGGCGTCTCGGGCCTCCGAGGTCC